GGGGGGGGGGGGGGGGGGGGGGGGGGGGGGGGGGGGGGGGTGCCGGCCAGCAGCCAGGCAGAGAGGGTAAGGGCAGCCGGTGACCTGGAAGGGGCGGCGAGGGAGCCGGCGTGTGAGGCTCCCGCGTGGGTGAGCCAAACTGTCATCTTCGCATTTTGTGGAAAGAGCTCTCCAGGCAGCCTGAGACGCCTGTGACGGAGAGGCTGCGGGGGCGGCACACAAACAGGCGCTGGGCTGCAGGCCTAGGAGTGCTCCAGCACCCCCACCCCCTCCCCCACCGGCCAGACCCTCCTCCTCCTGCTCTGATCCTCTGGCTCCTGCCTAGGGGTGGGCAGCAGCCTCTGGGAAAGCTGAGCCCCCAGGCTGGGTTTGTGCGTTGCTGGGGGAGCTGGGGTGACCGTTCCCAGCCCTCACCGGCCTGAACCCGCCCACGTGCTGGATTCCAGGGCCCAGAGAGCACATCTGACCAGGTCTGGCAGGTGCCCGTCCAGGACGCGTTCCCATCTCAAAATAAAAATAAAAGCTCGCTAGATGGATGGGTACGCTGTCTGAGTGCCCCATGTGCCAGGCACAGCTCTAACTATCTACCTGTAGTGACCCATCCGAGCCTCCCCACAGCCGAGCCCATCACAGTGCCCCTGCCAAGGACCCCTCCATTCCACCCTGGACCAGGGCAGAGCCCCTGCTTCAAGCCACATCCAGGACCCACTCACTCACAGAGGTGCCCTCAAGATGACCTCCCACCTGGTCTGACTCCCAGCCCACACTGCCCCACGGCTCCACCTTCCCCCTCGAGGAACCCAGGGGGCCACAGTGTGACACAGTTGGCTCCCAGTTAAGTGGGTGCACCCACCACAGACTCTGTCCCAGGACAGCTAGGGGACGAGACTGCCCCGTGCAAACAGACCCTTGATGACAAATAGCGTTCTCACAAACAGAGTGGTGGGAAGAGACTGGCCCCGGGTCCTGAATGAGCTACAAGTTGTGGCTGGATGTCACCGAGGCCCACGGTTACCCAGTTAGTCAACCTTAGAATCTGAGCACCTCCCGGGCCCCAGCCTCGCCAGGGGAGGCAGATAAGACTCGCGCCTTCTTGGCTGCAGACCTGGGCAATTCTCGGCATCCACCCCAGTCTCTGAGGGAGCTGAAGTAGCCACTGCCTGGCCATGCATTTGAAACTCCTGAACACTGAGTCAGAGCAGGTCTTCACAGGGCAGGGCTGGGGTGACACACTGGCCCAGCCCCTTCCCCTCAGTCCGGACCTGACCCTCCAGGTCTTCAACATGGGGACACATCTTCTGCAGCCTGCTGCAAAAATTCCCCATAGAACTCACCAGTTGCAGCCCCCAGAACCCCAATGAAAAGCCCGCAAGAGAACTTTCCTGTAGAATTTAGTGCCAAGATCTGAGCTTCCTGGCAACCACGTCAAAAGGAGAAATGTGATGTTTCTAAGATGTTAGTAGCAAGAAAGACCTTGACACGGTAGATCGTTCCAGGGGATGCATTTGCTTAAACTTTTCTCCAAGGTCCTAACTCTCACATCTATATTTCACGAACCTACTAGGCACATTTGGCTGCAGCTGCTTCCCCTGTCTGGGGAATAAGACAGCATATAAATGCATTCGGTGAATAAAAAACACATAGTAGGTGCGCAGTGAAGAATCCAATTGTTCTCATTCTTCTTTGACGGGAAGAGGATAGCAAAGGGACATTGGACAAGGATGGAGAGAGAAAAGGAAGGGCGCTTAGCTGGGAGGCAGGAACTGTGGGCAGAAGTCTCTGCTCCGGGAACCATCCTGACAGTGACTCCTGTCCCAACCGTCCCAACCTGGGACAGCCTGCTGACAGCTCCACCCTCCATGTCCTAGCCCAGGTCACCATCCCCTCCCCTGAAGACTTCAACAGGCTCCTGACTGGTCTCCTGGCGTCCCCAAGAGACCTTCCTCAGTCAGCAGAAACCTCCTAGAATTCAGATTTGGCTGTGTCACTCCCTACATAAAATCCTCAATGGCTCCCCACTGCCCTCAGAACAAAGTCCAAGCCCCCAATCCTGGGCCTTCAAGGCCCTCCACAATCTGGCCTCTGCCAGCCTCTTCCCCAATCTCTGTTTATCCTAGGTACCACACCAGGCATGAGTGCCACGTCCCAACTTCTGCTGGAATGGAAGAAGCTATCTTCCTCCTCTCTTCTTCTTTCCAGCCTGGTTGACAGCCATGGCAGCTGGGACCCTCCCCTCCCGCTCCAAAAGGAGAAGGTGAGGAAGGCCTGTCTGTGGGTGAATAACTACCGTGCTAACTCCTCTTGGGCCCCAAATAAGCCATCATTTACAGGAGTGAGAAATTAATTCCTAATTACACAGTTATTTTATCATGCAGCTTCAGTGCTAAAAGTCTAAAAAAAAATATACCAACAACCCCCTCCACCACTACCTCCTGCCAGCTCCCAAGCGCTCAATTAGGTAAGTAATTTTGCTCTAAAGACAGCACTTCCATCCTGTCATCACTCCAGGTGGAGGGCTGCCCTCAGTCCCCAAGCTGTCTTCTGGGGAGGGGGGCTTGGGTGTGGCCATGCTGGGGAAGGGACTGTGCCAGCAGTGGACAGGGAGGTTGGGCAACACTCTTCTGGGCACAGCTCCCACTTGTTTCTGTGAAGGAGCCTCCCTCCCCGGCTCCTGGCTCCCAGGAAAGGCCCAGAGACCCAGACCCGGTCAACTGGCAGGCGACATGCCCCTAGCCCGGCCGCCATGTGTGTCTCAGGATAGACATGTGGCCCCACACAGGCCATGAGAGGCAGTCTACTCACAAGCAGGATAGCAGCTGAGAGGTGCTCTCCCTGGCTGAGCCACTGCCTGGAAACCCGGAGGTGCTGGTGGCCACCCTGCCTCCGTGGTGGCCTGAGACTTCTGCCAGTGCAAAGGAAAGCGGGAGCAAGAATCGGAGAGGCAGGATCCTGACCATATGTCTGGAGCACCTCCCTCCCGCTGAGCCTAGATCCCAGACCTGCTCTCTATTCCTCCCAGCTACATGAGCCAGCATGTTCTCTTTGGGTCGCAGGCCCGACTGCATTGGGATTCTGTCACTGGCAACTCAGAGGCCTGGCTGGTTCAGAAGGGTTTCCTGAGCACTCACCACCTGCCAAGAGCTTTATATCCCTTCCCTTGGATAATCTTGCAGGGCTGGAGGAAGCTGAGGCTCAGGAAGAGCCCAAGGGACCCAGGACCTTTGTGTCACACGCCGCCTGCCCCATTTCATCCGTCACCAGCAAGGCAGAGCAGGCCAGCGCCTGCTGGCTCACGCACATGCTCCTCTCCCAGTCAGGTGGCCGGTGGGCACAGCTCACGCAGCAGCACGAGGACAGGGCCAGCAGCCTTGGAGACAGTGTTGTCTGATGGTTAGAGCTGGCTCCAATTCCAGCTCGCTGCTAGTGAGCCATGTGACCGTGGGCAGGTCACTGAACTGAAATGTGTTCAAGCACAGACCCGGTGCTTAGACCAAGGCCTAGCACAAGCGAGAGCCAAAGAAACAGGAGCTATTATTACACCGCAGCCTCAACTCAGCTCACACGTATCCACCAGTCACATGATGCCCTTTCCAGACCCCTCCCTCGGGCAGAGTTGCACTCTCCTGCCTTATGTCCCGCTGGTCCTCTATTAGGGCACCTCTGG